CAGTGCGTCGGATAACGAAAAGCCCAGAATGGCACACATTGTGGATATAAATGCATTTTTAACAAAAAGACGAATATATCTCATGAATCTTATATAGTGTTGTTGTTGTCTGCTTTTCCCGCGGTTTTAAGTAGGTCACCAGTGACTTTGCAATGTCAGAGAGAGCTCCGTCAGTTAAAATCTCTTAAGAGATTTTAACAAAAAACCGTACGTTTAGGAAAAAAACCCTGGATTAACTTTGAATGCAGGAATGGGGTCGTTGACCATTGGTAAGTACGGGAAAATTGCCGTTTTTTCCAGGAAAATCCAATTTTTGGCCAAAACGAAGAGTTATTATGACTTTAAAATCTTATGTTAAACTGTTTAAGATACCAGAAAATACACATAAAGAAACTTACACCAAAGGTACAGTTAAGCACTCCATTGCTGCTGTAAGTATTATCAGTGTTGTTCCCAATAAATGGTTGTCCACTATATCTAACCCCATGACTGGACAGGCAGGACTGAAACATGTATTCTTGAAATTTATCGAAAAAAAAAATGCACTTGGGGAGTCTAAAATCTAGCATGTTGTTCAAAAATAAATATCAGTAGTAAATCACACAGTTCAGTTCAATAAGTTAAGTAAAACCAAGAATGAAGAGCATAACATAAAATTTTAAACTCATAATGAATTGTACATAACTTTTTTCAAGTCTTTAACTGGTTTCCTTTAGCATAAGTTAATTTTATCACTTAGTCAAATTTAACAATGACAGCATTAACCTAGATATAGCACATGCACTGGAAGCAACTTTTAAAATATCTCATCAAGAACTGATTTTCTATATACTATTTAAAATGATAAACATTGTCAAATAATATGTAATTACCTTGAGGGCAAAGGTTTTGTGCAGATGATGTGTTCAACTACTGCTTCTTGCTGACCAACTTCAAGTAAAGATTCTGAACTACCTGTATGAAAAATGATGGGAAAATAGATTAATGAATAAATTGCAAGTAACTATATATTATAAGTTGCAATTTTATATGATGAACACGTTTAATACAGCAATTGAAGACTGAATCACATGCAATCCAACAAAGAATTTCATCAGTTACATCAAGCACTAAAAGTTACAATAATAGTTTATTTCTAAGTTTTTAGATGTAACTCGAAGAAACTCTCATTGCAACTTTGGATCATGTAAGAATAAAACCATGTTGGTTTTAGAGAACAATAAAACTAATGTTAATGGAAATTTAATTCAAAGTTAATCAAATTCCCCTATGAAATGCCTAAATTTATCCCCTTTGCAAGATGATACATTTCAATAGTTTGACTGACTGATACTTACTTTCTGTAAAATCTTGTAGTCTGTTTAACCAAGGTAACACCACTGCATGTACCCCTGCACTGTGCAAACAATGATATCTGTCTTTTGTACTTGGATCTGAAATTCATATTAAAACTTTTCATCTCAAAAGCACATGAAATACACAGACATTCACATCAAAGCAATACATTAGAAATGGTCAGGAATAAAGGTACTCAATTTACTATACTGTTTTTTAAATGTGATCTTTGATGTTTTTTTCCCAAACCTTTGCCACCACAAGGATTTTTCAACAACTCACCTGTATGCAGCCTTATTGGGCAAGTAAAATCATCTTCAATCAGCTCATCAGTTTCCACAGCAACAGTAGTTAGTGACAGCTCCAGTTCCACTCTCTCATACACATACAGTGATGTTTCTGACAGTGTATCATATTGTGTGCTGGCTTCAGTCCCAGTCCAAGATACCTCAGACTACAAATATCAATAATAAATTGTTTTATTATATTAGATGACATGTGATCTGATTATTTTTCATTGCAGGCATTAGTATGTTTCAGCAAGGTTAATTGAGCAATGTCTATTAGTTTCTCTCAAAACTGCCTACACCAGAAAAAAGTGAGCCTTTCCATGTTTTATTCACATTTTAACAGATATAAAAAAAACTTGATTCACAATTCTGCTAATAATTGGTGTCACACTAGTTTAATAAAATTGCCCACAATATGCCTGTAAATGAACTTACTAAAGAATCATCATCCTCGCCCTTATTGAGAACCACACAGTGGTACAAATTACCATCACTTGTAGCTATAACTAGTACTGGTGGAGTGGAGTGGATGCACAGGAGAGAGCAGGCATCTGTACCATAGTTGTCCTCAGCAGGGGGATGCATGGTCAAAGGACCCACTACCTTAGATTTCAACCTAAAACAACACCAAAACAGTAAACTGCTTAAGTAGTCTAGATGCAAAATCTTATAGGTCTACTTTAAAAATAAAGTGACTTTGAAAGCCTTTGTGCTACTGATTTATTCTACTCATATGTGAAACAATAAGTTGTTTGAGGCTGCAAAGTACTTAAACACAANGTATCTTTTAGGTGGATGGCACACATGTTTAAGTGCATTGTTTAGTAGTTATTCTCTCTGTATATATGTGACAGTAATAATTTGTTCAGAGTAACAAACGATTGCATCTGTCTCAGTACAAGTGAAAATCAAAATGCCTAATAACTAATCACTCATACGAGACGTAGGGATTGAAAAAAGTAGTTGTTGATCAAAACAATTCTGAAGATGCGATTTTTGTGAAATGACTTATTTAGTGATGTGCATGTGTCTAGCTTGTTTAAGTTGTTGAATTTTTAATTTATAAAATATTTCATACATGGTCTCATATTTATATTACTCTCAAGCTATGCTCTTCGGTGTCATTGTGTTACATGGGACTATTGGAACCTGAAGTTAGTTTGCTATGGAGTCATGTTATCCTTCATGCAGTTTTATAGCTAGGATGAACACTGTGAATAAGAAATGGGCTTTAATAAGCTTTACTTAATTTATGACAGTTTAAACAAAACCAGTCTACAAAGCCTTGCTTTGAATTAATGTTAACCTCAGATTGGTTTTAAAAGAACAAGTACAAAAATGTTGGATGGACTTAATCACCAGCATCATTTACATTTTACCTAAATGCTGTCGTTAACGCAGTTTCATGAATAATATTTTTTAAGTTGTCTGTCGTTCAGCACACGTAGTAGATGAAGTTGTGAAACATTGATGAAGATCAATCCAAGCACAATCTAGCCTATTATTTTTTACAAAATAAATCATGATGAGTAAATATTCATCACACGTTTCTGCTTGTGTCACTTGAAAGCTTTTGATCAATGACGTTCACTGACATCACAATCATTTGACAATTAAAAAGAAATTGGACAGGTTCAAGGGACAGTTTTTATGTCAGCTAGGGGGACTTCTGGTAGAGGGTACAGCATAGGTGTTTCCTCACTCGAGATTAACACCTTGACAGAAGCATCACGACATCCCAGATATAAGCAAGTAGAATAAAAGCTTTTTTCTCCAAGCATCCTATTCCTAACCACTCAGTTAGGACAAAGGTGAAGTTACATGTACAACTACAATTAATAGAACAGCTGCATTCCTTAAAAAAAAAAAAAAAAGAGAAACCGTAGACAAAACAAAGAAGAATAAAAAACACAATCATTGAGAAGTTTATCTCCATGTGTGTGAAATTAAAAAAAGACATCTGGCTGCATCTTTAGACAAGGGCGTTAGGACATAGCTGCCAATCAAAATGGCAGCACATTGTCTAATGCGTGAACATATAAAATGTTACAAAAATGCAATTTATCTGCCATGTCAAATACCCACATGAAATATTAGAGAGATCAAAAAAGGTATTTTTCTGCTCAAATTGGAGCTATCGTGACACTTGATCTTTGTTTTTAATTGGTCTTTTGAGAAGTGTTTTATTTTGTTTAGTATTAAATAATAACAGGGATGCTGTGCCTGTGATTTTAACAATTTTGCTAACACCTGCCTGAATAAATTCAACCTAACATGACATTAAATGCACCTGATATGCTAAGTGCTTGTGTGATTTTGCCTTACTCTCATGAAGTTATTTTTTGCCTTTGTATTGTTATCATGTCTGTTAGAAATTTTGATTTAGGAATGAAAATCAAGTTAACATTAAGGATAAAAAATTGTGTATCTTGGCACCAGCAATAAGACTAGTCTAGCACCTTTTCACTTATTCTGTTTGTTTTTGCAAGCCTTGTTTTATTTTTCAGCCAAAGGACGTATTATAAGAAAATTCTCAAACATTTGGTTATAGTTTTAGATGAAGTGAGTGTGTGATGGTTTCCTCATGTGTTCAGTAATCATTACAGAGTACCAGGTGATGTGAGATGTGAGTCAACTTCTTCCACCTGTGTAGGCTGGGTCAGAGGACCCCACCACAACCACGAAATGCCATGCCAAATGTAAACTAGTTTCTTGACTTAATAAATTAAGTATATAAGTTAAGTGTTTATTCCAAAACAATATCTTATTAACTTTACAAATGATGATGTAAAAGTTCAGAGGGGTTGTCTGGTTTTTTAGGCATGCCTTGATTACATGCTCACTATATTAAAATAAGTGTGAATTTGGAATTTGTGAATAATTGCTCTATATCTTATTCTATCGCTTTAGCCTGTGAAAAACCAAGTTTTGTACTTCAAAGATTGAAAGAGAGTTTTAATTCTGATTAAATTATTGAAACACCAACATGAAATGCAGCACAGCCATGTTTGGTGTGCTTAATTGGGTAATGGTTTGGTTTTTTTCTGTTGATGAATCACAAAAACTGTCAGGTAAAGCCAGGTGGCCATAACCTAGGCCCACATGCTGTGATGTCATAAGTATAAGGGCTTACCACATAATTTTCTTTAATTTGATGTGATGAAAACTTGTGCCAGAGAAAAGAATCTAGAGACTTTAAAGATAGAATATAAATGATGGGAAAGCTTTATATAATTTTTGAACTATATGTTTTACTATTTTGGGATAAATGTTTGTAGAAGTAGTTAAATTAGTTTTTTAAAGGTCAGGCAGCCAACATTTTCTAAACCATTTCTAAAAAAAAAAAAAAAAAGAAAAACTTTTACATCAACCATATCAAGCCATCAATCAAAGCCCCAACATATTTGAGTTTTTATTCATAAAGAGTTCATAAGGTTTGCTTGTATGAAGCTTGTTTGCAACTTCATGTAGAAATATGTCTGTTCTTCAGATTATTTTGCCTCACTAATGCAGATAGATGATTTAACTATTTGCATAAAGTTTCTGGAGTCCTCTGCTGGATAGCTTTATTCACAGCTTTAAAAAGTATTTCATTTTGTCTTTCTTCAGCATGATTTTTAAGTACAGTTTTGCTTGTTTCAAAAATAAAGAGATTTTTACCTAATTGTGCTGATGATGGCTTGTTGGATGTTTGATGTACTTTTAAGGTTCTTGGGGAAACATTTGAAGTTTGGCTAAAAGTCTTAGCCTACCATGAAGCAGAGTAAATCTTTACATGCTCTCTGAAACTAATCAACAAAATACACTTAATATTCACCTCAAACTGGAAAACAAGCTTGATTAGATCTTTTTTTTTCTGGAATTGTGGCAATTTTTTTGTGAAATTTTTCATTTTCTCTTTCTAGTATTGTCAATGTTTGAATTTGAGCTCTTTTGGGCCTGAAGCCTTATGCTAGTTACATATTTCTGATATCTGTATTATCTGTTGTGCATGATAAAATTTAGGTGATTTTACTGTTAAGCACAATGTATTATTGCATCAAAATTGACAAAATAACTTAGTTTGTGTATCACTTTGCTGCTTTGTTTTTCTTAATTCATTATAAACTGTGTCCATGATGGCTATCAGTGTTGCCACTATTTCTGGGAGCTTGTCAAACATTAGTGCCAGGCCTAGAAAATGAGAGAGGTTCTTGAAATCTTAATGATGCTGAAAAATCTGCAATTGGGAGACATTTTTAAGTGGCACTCCTGTTATTCCATGGCTGATTAGACTGGTGGAAGGCATGCTGCATGTGTCTGCCAATCATCCCATCAACATTCTGTGTATTGGGCTTGGATTTTAATTCCATTTATAACATTTTGGAGACAATGGATACTTTGTTTTTGTACTGTATGTTTCAAAATAAAAAATATGACTACATTCATAATCTCGACAAAATTGGAAAATAGTATACCTGAAGACAACAGGATATATTATTCTCTGAGTGACTTGTACTTTGTAGTATATTTTCACTGTCTACTTGTTACAACAACTCTCCATGCTCTATCTAAAAACTTTGATTCAGGTTCTTCCTTTGCATAAAAGACAGGTTTACTTCTGGTTTAGCTATGATGCAATCCTAAACTTCTTCCAGTATTTATCAATCCAATTGAAATAAATTTTTAGAGATAAAATGACCAATGAAGGAAAGCAACACTGGCACACTGAACACTGTTGTTTTTATTACTCTTTATTGTAGCCATGCTGAAAGACCCAGCTGGTATTCAAAGGACAAATCACACTGACAATTTCAACCGCAGTAAAGGTCTGATCACTGTCCTATCAGGGCTAACTTTTCTAATGAGAATGGACTCTGTATCCCTTATGGCTATATATCCAAATAAACTATCAGAAATCAGTGGAAAACTTTTTTACCTTTTGGCTTTAAACTTACAGAACTGATGAATATTCATAAAACACAGGTCAAGTTTGTAAATCAACATGATGGAGCCATTCTTTCAAAAGTTGTGCTGTTTTTTTAGCTTTTTTAAGCATGTATGCAATACTGATAACACAATAAGTGGTAAACCATTTTACCTTTTGGCTTGAAACTTGCAGAACTGTTGAATATTCAAAGTACGCAGATCAAGTTTGAAAATCAGCATGATGGGGCCATTTTTTCAAAAGTTATTTTTTTTTTTTTTCAGTATACATGCAACACTGATAACACATTTCAAGGAAAACCGGTAGGCATATTGTCTTGAAACCTACAGGAGTGATCAATCTTGCTACAATACTGGGAAAGTTCGATAATCAGCTTGATTGGGCCATTTTTACTCTTTTTATGTATTTTTACTCTTTTTATGTACATACATATAGCGTCTGTCGTCATTGTCGTCGCTGTGCACTTTCACCGATAACACGATAAGTGAAAAAACGTTTTACCTTTTGGCTTGAAACTTACGGAACTGATGAATATTCATAATACGCAGGTCAAGAAAATCAGCATGATCAGGCCATATTTATGGAAGTTATACGATTTTTTCAGTATATATGCAACATTGATAACACATTTCAAGGAAAACCCATCAGCCTATTGTCTTGCAACTCACAGGAGTGATTAATCTTACTAATATACAGATCAAGTTCGATATTAAGCTTGCTCTGTCAAGTTTTGAAGTTATGCCTTTTTATATATANTGGGAGGTAATGGCATTGATACATATCTGATGCACTGCAGCCTAAGTATGAAGACACCACACTTTCAGAGGTGGGCCAGGCTTTTTATCGTTTCTAGGTTAACGCAAATGCATCACATCTGTTTGATTTGTCTGAGTATCAAAAATCTCTTGAACATTTAATTTTTCTTCAAATTAATTCAAATTTTGCAACAAGGTATATAAAAACATCAATAATAATTATAGCAATATTCATAATCATAATAATGAAAAAATGTTCCTCAAGATTTATGCCCCTTCAACAATGGTAGAACATCTTAACTTGGTGTCTGAATTGCTCCATGGCCTTGGGGTAGAAAAAAGATAGGAGGAATAAAAACCTCCCGAGGTGTCCTATCCACATTTTAGGAACTGGCACACTGTGTTCAATAGCAGGCTAAATTCAATCTAAAAACATAGTCCAACTGAATGCTTCAGATGATACACATATACCAGGACCTTGCAGGAACGACAAATGAGTGAGTCCCATGTCCAGACACCTACTGTCATTAAGTTGGTTCAATTTTTAAGGCAATCTAAGGCAACGGATATCTAGGCACACAACTAACACACGGGTACCAATCATGGTAACAATTGCATAAATACTAATATCCATAACATATTGCATAACTAATATCCATAACACATTGCATAAACGTGTGTGTGTGTGTGTGTGTGTGTGTGTGTGTGTGTGTGTGTGTGTGTGTGTGTGTGTGTGTGTGTGTGTGTGTGTGTGTGTGTGTGTGTGTTACATGACCCTCACCTGTTGGTTTTGGTGTGGTAGGTAAAGGAACATGGCTGATGTTAGTATTACACATGTCCCTGTCACAACAGCAGAAGAAAACATCCTTGTCTGGTTTATCTTTATTCTCAATGCACTGTTCCTTGCCATAGCAGTCGCTGTAGTCCAACCAGCAGCCCTTCTTCAAAAGTTTGAACTCCAGGGAGGTGTTCTTCCACGAGGCATAGCAGTGGACCCTCTTCCCCGTGTCAGGAGTCTCGCAGTGCTCTGTGGTGTTAAAGCTCTCTACTTGGGAGTCATAATATTCACACGTGGTTGCTGTTGCCATGTCTGCAAAGAGTAATAAACCAAGGTCATTCTGACTGTTATGTCTTATGCTACACTTATGAATAATCTCTCAACTGTCTATAAAAAGAGAGAGCTAGATGCAACCAAACCAGAAATTGCTCTCTGCAAATGTTATGCAATGGAAATGCCTAGAGACAAAATTTACTTACCGAATTGTTATTCAAGTAACAGATTCAATCATAACATCAAGCTAATATTTCTCAAAACTCGAATCTTATATATGCATAAATCCATTCCTATCTGTGTTTTGACTAAGATACTGCACGTGAGTTTTCCTTAAATCTAACCCTTGTCCAACAAAAAATCATATCAGTTTCTTAAACATTTTTCCCTTCTTTCATGTTCTTTGAATGATGTGATTTTTTCCTTCAGTCAACAGCTAATATTGAGATAGGTTTTAGCTCCAATATTTCGATGTCTATCAGGACATCTTCAATATTAGCTGTTGACTGAAGAAAAAATCACATCATTCTTAAAACTTAACACAGCTGATGAAGTTCTTCTCTGACTTTTATGCTCTTTATTCCTAGACCTGCAAACCTTTTTCTTAGTATGAATATTACCACATGCTTTTTACTGTAACTAACAATAAACATGTCTTTTCTGCATTCTAATTCCTTACATATAAATATGAATTTTTCTCCTGCACCGAGCATGTGACTGCACTCTTGGAGCTGTACAGACGCTTGGGTGGTCCTTCATTCCCTCTCCTGCTACCACTATCGCACAAGGACACAGACAAGCCAGCTGAGAGGTAACAACATAATCAATGCAATGCACTGAAATAGGTCTACTTCACTAATAACCCATCAAACCCATCGCCTCAGCTACATTCAGAAGAGGGCAATTTCAGACCAAGGAGTCTCTGTGTTATTTATTTGCCAGATATCACCGGCCATTAACCAGTCCACAGAGGTCTTGTCTAAGCAGGCCTCTGGACATATTCTTAATCACATTTGTATCAGCCTCTGGAATGTGGACTGAACCATTCATAGACTAGTCTTAAATCATTTCTATGGGTTAGTTGATGTTAATTGCTTTATTCCACCTGGGCTCTGGTTTTTGGCCAGTGTATATATAATTCCCAACATGACCGGATCTTCAAATTGATTACTGGACAATGCCATGAATAAAATAAAACAAATAATGTTACTTAAAAGAAAAGAGTTTCTTAACAGGTTCAAAATCCATCAACATAACATCTTATTTGTAAAGTGACCCCAAAACCACAAGCACACGAACAAGGATAGCTGTAAGTTGCTCAATTGGCCTTCCTAAACCAATCACTTTCCTCTCACAGCTTGTTCTTTTCTTACTGATGAAACTTAACAGACCTCTTGGCTTTTTCTGCACCCCTGCTCACCCCTGGTGTGCCGTACCGAGGTTACGTGGCATTACCTCTGCAAGGCAGTCTAGGCTGTCTAGACGCCAGTTAATTGCTCTCAAGAGGCTACATTTTTTCTCTTCTCATTTTACAATCCCCGCTGTGCAACTACCCTTTCATGCCAGGCACATGAAAGCAGGAAAAGTGCCCAGCACTGTGCTGCTTAACGCTACCTAACTCAAACACACATAAAACAACAGAAATGTCAGCCACTCCAGCTTAACAGGCCAAAAAACACAGAGTAAAACAAAAACAAAAAATAAAGAATACAGTATCAGAAGAGAAAAAACAGAGGCTCCAAAACGGTCATTATATCTCAGCATTATAGTGCTGAGCTTAAAAATCCAATTTCCAATCATGTTCAATTTATTGACCCAAAAATCATGGCATGTTAAGTAATGATCAAGGCCAAGAAATAAGCAGCTCTATGAACCAGCACGGCACTTATCACCATATTCTAGGCGTGCTCATCCAGGTTAGAAAGTAGAAATGCCTAAGTACCCTCATGCATAATCAGATAATCAAATGAGTAAATTACATTTCAAATGACTGAGAATTTTTCTCTTTAAGGGATGACAGACCTCCTCAGGAAAATTTCTCCATATCCCCATGTAGTAACCATCATCCACTTGGCATTAGAAAAAAAACTTAGAAGAGCTTCTCAGCTTAAAAAAAATCAACCTTGCTTTGTTTCATATTCAAATGTTACGATGTTCTCCTTTTTTTTAAGGTGGGGGGGGGGGGGAA